AGCAAAGCTCTTTCCACAGTGGTTCCACGTGGCTAGAGGATTGGGGCAGGTGTGGAGCAAAAGGCTGTTGAGGTTGGAGAGAGAAAAGGGTCAGATATGCAGGGCTTAAAGGGTCTTATTTGCCATGCTGAGAAATTTGAATTTTATTCACTGTGATGTGGAGAATTCTGATATGAGAGAATCCTGGATATATGAGCCAGAGAATCTTGGGAAAAGATTTTCTTGCACATCTGAAAAGTTATTTTCTATTCAAATATTACTCCTAAGCTCATCTTTTTGGTAACTCACCAGTGACATTTTCCTTTGACAAATAGGAGTGTGTAGTTCCTTAATTTGGATCTTTTTATATAAGGATGAGTAATGAGACAATGTAAGCTATTCTTCAAATATGATGAATATATCCTTTAACTCCGCATACCCTTTCACAGGCAGCTTTCTTTGTGTAATAATAAGAAGYAACTAGTTGTCTCCAGTGCATTTCCAAAAGGGTTTAAAAGCAGAAGCTCCAAATTTCCTCATTCCACATAATCCTGAAGTAGTCAGATTTCAGCACATCTAAGGAGGGAAAGACAAGACAGCTTAGAAAGCAAGAAAAACCCAAGATTTCTACTGGACCTTTGTTATGGCGCTGTTGTTGCCCTTCAATGCCCCTGACTTGGCCACAGGAAGAAGGAGGAAGCTGTCAACAGCTCAGAGTTGCCTCAGAGAAGACACCAGTACAGTGGACAAATGCCTTCAAGTAGACCTTGAAGACCAGCTCTTTGCTCAGATATTTGCTAGTCAAAGAGAATTTCTAGCTGGGCGTGGTGGCACACACCTGTAATCCCAATGGCTCAGGAGCTTGTAGCAGGAGGATCGTGAGTTCAAAGCCAGTCTCAGCAACTTAGCAAGGCCCTAAGCAACTCAGTGAGACCTCATTTCTAAATAAAATATTAAAAATGGGCTGGGTTTGTTGCTCAGTGGTTAAGCAACCTGGTTTCATTCCCAGGGAGGGAGAGAGAGAGAGAGAGAGAGAGAGAGAGAGAGAGAGAGAGAGATTGATTCTACATCCCTTTAAAGAGCTGCAGCTTTCCCCTTCTGTAAGGGCGGGAACTGCTCCCAGCTTCTAGAGAGGACAAAGTTTAAATCTTTAGACTCCAATATATCAGAAGAAAGGAATATGTCTATACTTTGATGTGTTCTGTTTTTAGGCCTTCCCTACTTGCTCAGAAACTTCATCCCATCCACATGTCACCTCCAGAGCAGATGTCTGTAAGAAAGAAGGCAGACAGCACAAAGACACTTTTCAAGTGGAAATTCCCAGATGTGAGTAGCCCAGAATGATGAAGTGCAGCCCTGCTGTCACGTTCTAGGACAATCATGCTGAATTCCCCTGACACATGCTTTCGTGCAGTTTTGACCAAAGAAACCTAAATTAGAAATAAATGACAAAGCTCTGTTCTCTCTACCACAACTTCTTTTGTTGGGCTAACATGATTTTCTTTCCCCTAAATTATACAAGATTTGTGTATGGGTAGTATGTAGTTCTAGTCTGTCTACCTTAAGACAAGGAAAATGTAGGTATTTTATTTTGTCTTATCCTGATATATTGACCAAATACTTCTGTGGAGGAGACAATAAGAATATCAAAATATTGTATATCCTTGCTTGCTAATTGCTATGAAGAATCACTCAGAGAAAAACTTGTGAAGTTACCTTTGAAAATGACTGAGAAGGGTATGAGCAAGTGGCCAGGCTGTATGATGGCAAGGGACAGGCTAGTTTGTACACTGATCTCAGACAGATTTCTAAATGGTTTCTTAGTAGTTGAGGTTCAAGAGACACTGAAATAGGAATTTTAAATGGTGTTTAAAACTCATTATGCTGATATACAAGGCCTTCCATGAAAGGTCTTCACCTCTCCAACCTAATTTACCTTTACTACCCTACTCTATATCAGTGATGAATAACTTGTTGTCCACTAGTTTCCCAGTCTAATTTCATATGGAATCTTTTAGTATCCTAGGAACTTATCTAATATGCTGTAGCACTTTTTTCTTGTCTTACTCTGGCTTAATATATATTTCAGTTTAATCTTGACCATCCTTTTGCGAAAATGTTGGCTCTACAAGGTAAGGACTCTATCTGTCTTACTAACTGTATATCTACAGTGCCCAGCGCTATTCAACAATTATATACTCAATAAATATTTATTGAATGAATGAATAAAAAAATGCTTTAAAGCACTGYAAAACTGTGGGATGGGAAGACCAAATGAGTGAGGGGTAAGTACACTAGACAGACAGAAGAACAAAAGCTGAGCTAACTATAAGGATGCTGCTTTCCAAGGCCTAAGGGTAAACCAGTTAAGGGGATTCCTTCACAGTGAAAATGTTCAGAATTGAGAAAGGGGCAGAATTAGTWTAGTCAAAAGATGAACATGATAGAAACTTGAAGGATAGATTGAGATTGATGAAGCTGGAGAGAGAACTGAGCAGACTGGCATGGTCATTAGCCCTGAGAATGAACCAGAGGCAACTCATTGGAGAGACAGTGCTTTACTCTCAAGAACTTAGTGTTTTTGACAAATGAMAGAAGAGTCTAAATTGGGTCTAAGGTGCCTGGTCTGGAAATTGCCATGGGGTGATGATGGCAGTAGAAGCATCAAACACAGAAGTAGGGGACAAAGGAATCAGGTCATCAAATCTTTAGAAAAATTGCACAGTCAAAAGGTGATGTGTTAGAAAAAAATTCAGACAACTGTAGTTTAAGCAGTCCCCCTCTGAAGACATACTGAATAAAGTACAAATATACTAGATCCTGAAGTTCTCCCTGAATCTCTTTGTTCTYGCCCCCCAGAGGCTGTTTGGCCTGGCCTCAGGGGTAGCTATTTGAACTGTTGGCAGTTGCTTCAGCCTTGACCATATCTAAGACATTAGAAATTAGTCAGGATGAACTCTGAGAATATGAGAAGCAAGAGAAGGATCTTTTTATTGAACTTTGCCTAGATTGACTCATGAGCCTGCTTTAATGAACCACATGAATCTGCTTTGATGAACTCCACAACTGAACTCTTTCCTGTCTCAGGGCTATAAACATGTCATTTCGTCTGCCTGGGCTATTTTTCCTCATTCTTCTCAGGTCTAAGTCTTACTCATCCTTCAGGTTTCAGTTTAAAAGTCATTTCCTTAGCATTACCACATCTGAGGGATCTGAATGAGGTATATAATTCATAAAAATATGAATTATTATATATAATGACAACTCAAGCCCAAATATCCTGGAATCATTTCTTGCAACCAATAATGTTAGGAACAATGAGTTGACATTGACCAGGCATAAACCTTAATGATATTAAAAAGAAGAGCTTCTCTCCTCTCCCTTGAGATTCTTGTATTTAAGAAGGAGACATGAATACAACCTGAAATAAGAAACATTTGGGGAAAGCTTTTGTTTTTGCTTTTCTAGTCTCTTTCCTGATTTCTCCTTTTGTTTTCATATTACCTCTTATGGCTTTCTCTCATTACTTTTTTCAGTGCTTTTGTCTATTTGTTTTCTTCCCTTTGTTTTAGTGAAATTAAACACGTCCCCAAATTCTAGCATTTACTGAAATCAAACCTCTTTTTTTCCCCCTTTCCTGGTAATAAGATTCAAATAGACCAGAAAAGAGCTTTGTTCTTCTCAAATATTCATATAACTAGTWGTTAACCAACTCCTGTGATCTGGGAATCCCCTGTTACAAGAAATGGGTACTCAAGGGCTCACAGCCAGGGCTCACAGTAGCAACTCAATGAATCATAGCCACTAGTATGCTCTGTAAGGAATATCTGCCTCCCACACACACCTATAGACCTAAAAATATCTTTTGGGAATACCAAGTACAATAAATAACAAGTATACAGCTTTTAAAAAATTCTTTTCATGAATAATCTCATTTTATTCTTTTAATAAACTRTAAGATAAGTATTGATTTCATCCCCATTTTATATACTAGGAAACTGACGTTCACTCACACACACATTGGTTTTTGTCCATGGTTTTTAGTTTGCAAGTCCCTCCAAAAGGCAGGATATAGAAGCTAGAATTTCTTTTCTAGCTTAGAGTGTCAGTAACTCTAATATTCTCCCAACTTGGCCATAATGAACTTCTCTTCATGTACCTTGTCTGATAGTAGGCTATAAGATCCTTCTCATTCCAAAGGGCTCTTTTGCCATCCTCTGRGCTATTCAGATTATTCATGACAGAGAAGCTATAAATAATCTGAATAGATGGGGTTTGCTGGGTTTCCCCACTCAGTCTATTAGCAATCATGTCTATATAATGAAGTTTCTGTAAAATCCCAAAGGACAGGGTTTGTAGAGCTTCCAGAGAGCTGAACATATGGAATTTTTTGGAGAGTGGCATGCTTAAAGACATCATGGAAACTCTATGCACCTTCTCTCATACCTTCACCAGTCATCTCTTCATTTGTGTCCTTTATAACATTCTTTATAACAAACTGGTAAGCCTACATGTTTCCTTGAGTTCTGTGAGATGCTCAAGCAAATTCATAGAATCCTAGGAGGGATTTTTAGGAGTCCCCATTTATATCAGACCAGTCAGAACCACAGATAAACAACCTAGGGCTTGCAAGTAGCACCTAGATGTGTGTATGTTTGCTAGGGGGTTGGGAGGGTACTCTTGAAATTGAGCCCTCACCCTCAACCTGTGGGATCAGATGCTGTTTCCACATTGAAACATCAGAACTGAACTGAATAAGAGGACATACAAATGGTATCCCATGCTGCAGAACTGCTTGCTTGCCTGAGAGAAACCTTTATACTTTCTATGGTCACAAAAGTCTTCTATGTTGATTGTAGTGTGACAGAAGATAGACTGTTTTCCAAACATATCTTGCCTGGAATAATTTCAAAAACCTTGAATAAGGCTCAGGTTTTTTGTCTTGTCCTCCCTCAGGCTGTCCTTCATATTATTGCCAGTAATACTACTGAAGTATAGAATCTGTTCATACCCTTCCTTACTTAAAATCCTTTACTTAAATCCTTCCTTACTTAAAATCCTTACTTAATCCTGCTTCTGTTTTAAACTGAATTGTTTCCTCCAAAATTCATATGCCAAGGTCTTAACCTTATATCTTATAACCTTATAACAGTATTTGAGGCAGGGTCTTTTTTAAAAAATATTTTTTAGTTGTCAATGGACCTTTATTTTATTTATTTATATATGGTGATGAGAATCAAACCCAGTGCCTCACACATGCTAGGTAAGCTCTCTACCACTGAGCCACAACCCCAKCCCTAGGAGGTAGGGTCTTTAAAGGGGTAATTAAACTAAAATGAGATCTTTAAGATGAGCCCTACTCCAATCTGATTGCTSTCTTTATAAGAAAGAAAACGTGGACACAGACACATACAGAGGGAAGCCAGTGTGAAGATATAGGGAGGACATAGCCATCTTCAAGCCAAGAAGTGAGGCCTTAGAAGAAATTAAATCTCCCAACAACCTGATCTTAGACTTCTTCTTCTCCTTTCTCCCCTCCTCCTCCTCCTCCTCCTCCTCCTCCTCCTTCTAACATT